TTTCTATGGTATTGCAAGCCCTGGTGGATCACCAGAGATGTTTTACCAACATCAATGTGGGATGGTGCATTATGCATGATTTTTAAAAACATAGGGCTATTCAGAAAGATGCAAGCAGAGACTTTCTTTCCAGACCGGTGGATTACCATTGGGGATATGGAAATACCAATAGTGATCCTTGGCAATCCAACTTACCCTTCATTCCCGTGGCTCATGAAGCTGTAGACTGGCCACCTCGACAGCAGCAAGGAGCGCTTCAACTACACACTCAGCAGGTGTAGAATGGCTATTGAAGGTGCCTTTGGCCATTTGAAAGGGCGCTGGCACAGTCTACTCACGCAATTAGACTTTAGTGAAAAAAATATCCCCATGGTTATAGCTGCCTGCTGTGCGTGTCATAACAACTGTGAAGCATTGTTTCCACCAGGGTGGAGCACAGAGATGGAATGCCTGGCTGCTGATTTTGAGCAGCCAGATATTAGGGCTATAAGAAGAGCTCAACAGGGAGCTATAAAGCTCAGGGAGGCTTTGAAAGACTATTTCAATAGTGAACCACAGTAATGTGTTATTGTTGTAGTGTGCTCTGCTGGGCATTGTTTTTTAGCACCCCGGTACGAACCTTGTAAAGAGTGCTGTGTGTGTGATAATATAATATTGTGAATGCACCTATTGCTTTTATCTTTTAATGATGTCAGCTCCAGCCACTTTATGTTGTGAACTAATAAAGATGAATTAATTTTCCATAAATAAACGTTTATTCCAAACATATGCAAACAAAAACAACTGTAACTGAATGAAACTATATAAATTCAGGGAAAAGAACCTTTAAAAGGGAAAGAACATTCGATCTCATTTCAAACAACACACCAACAGTCTCTCTCTCTGGCCAAAGTACGTGCGGCTCTGATTGTCTGTACTCTTTCCTCAGGGTGGAGGGGTAGCAGTACTGCAGTGGCCCTGGAACATATGGGGTGGGTGGGATGGGCAGGGAGGTCCCAGAATGCAGTTATCAATAGGCTGCAGTGGGAGATGACCACCACAGGTGACTTAGACCAAAAGGTCTATAAGAGTCTCCAGCATGTCCGTCGAGCACTTGAGAAGCATTGTCATGTCTTCCTGCGTCTATCCCTTTGCTGCACGTTTCTCCTCTCTGCACTCTCCCTTCCCATTCTGTCAAGAAGGGCACTCCTCCAAGCAAAGGCTTGCAGGATCTCTTGGAACATGTAGTCCCATGTTCTCTTTCTTGATCCATAAAAGTTACAAGTACTACAGACTCACTTCCGCTTGGGATTCATAGAGCACAGTGGCAGTTCCAGCCATAGTGAGTACGGCCCAGGGAGAAAGGGGCAATTTGGGACAATAAGTGGGGGGGGGAGCACACAGGCACCAGCATATGTGGAATAGGGCAACTGAACTGAATACTGGCACCGTTTTCCACAGGTGGTGGTGATTTTAGCTAGTATCGCACTCCTGAGGGTAACCCATGAAAAGGAACAGCCCCTACACACTTCTGGATGCAGACCGGGTCCATATGCTGCTAGCCTGTGTGCTGCAATGGTGCTAGCTGAAGTAATTGCTGACTGGCTTGGGAAAGTGTCCTACCACTGTGGAAGAAATAGGGCAGCCCTCCCCAGAAACCTTCAGCAGAGGATTGCAGACTATCTCCAAGAAAGTTTCCTTGAGATCTCTATGGAGGATTCATGGGACATCCCGGTGTGCATAAACAAACTGTTCCCCAGAACCCACTCTGCCTCACTATATAGGGGAACGAGAAGCAGATAGCAACTCTTCCTCTACTGATTATTTCACTACATCTTCTACCCTGATTAAAAAATAGCAAATGAACTGCAATATCAAAGCAAACTGCATGCTTACCAGAAGTTCCTTCCCCTACATCAGGCTTGCCAGTGCTGTACAGTAGGGACTGGCTCGACTGCTCCGGCATCAGAAAGAGTTCCTGGCTTGCCGCACCACTGGATCCTCCAGTAACCTGTTCCCCATACTCCTCCTCCATTTCCTCGTCCAATACCTCCTCCTCACTATGTACTACAGGGGCCAGCCCCCCGAAGTATCCACAGGCAGTGGGCCTCCACAAAGGATGGCATGCAGTCTCTTGTAGAAGCAGCATGTTTTCAGCTCCGCTCCAGAGTGACTGTTAGCCTCCTTTGCCTTCTGGTACACCTGCTGCAGCTCTTTGATTTTCACGTGCACTGCTGCATATCCCTGTTGTAGCCCTTCTCCCCATGCCCTGAGCGATCTGCTCATAGATATTGGCGTTTCTATGGCTGGATCAGAGCTGTGCCTGCAGAGTCTCTTTTCCCCACAAACCCAGGAGATCCACCACCTCTGTGTACTCCAGGTAGGAGCGCGTTGCTACGTGGAGCTGGCATGGTCAGCTGGGCAGTTGCTATGTGAGCTCTCCACGCAGAACAAACAGGTAATGGAATTTAAAATTTGAGAGGCTTTAAAAGGAGAGAGTTGAGCTCAAAACCGTGACCAGAGCAGTCATAATGGGGCATTGTGGGATACCTCCTGGAGGCCAATAAAGTCGCCATAAATAACAGTGTCTAACCTGACACAGCATCAACCTAACTACAAAGACCTAAGTGCTATACCTCTCGTGGAGGTCAAGTTATTAAGTCGGCATAATGGTTGAGTTACATTGGCGGGAGCAACATTTTAGCGTAGATTCTTAAGAGAGGTAGGTTGACATAAGCTGCCTTGCATCAACCTAACTCTGTAGTGTAGACCAGGGCTAATTTTCTTCTTTTAGAGGCAACACTTCCTTTTTGCATAACCAAGATGACAAGAAATCCTTAGCCTGATTACAAGTAAACAAGCCGCAACCAAAACAAAATGAAAAAAAAAGCCAAGAACCTCTGTCATCTTTACCAGCCTGAAATGAATGGGAAACAGTTATGTGTATACTAGGAATATTTTTGCATTCACAGTAATTGTATAATCTTTCTCTGAGAGAAGACTAAGTTATTCCATCAAATATGCTAGCTTAAATTTTTTTTTAAACATATTCAAAACCTTGACTACAGCAATGTGAATTGGCTAAATCTATATAGAAAGAGAAAGAAACACACACCTTTAATGTTTCCAGAACTGAAAAGGGAAGACTGATAGGAAAGGCAAATATATAAAGCAAAGTAACATTTATTTTTGACATCTCAATTTTGTTAGACTAGTGCAATTACTTTTGTACAGTTTAATTTCCTGAAACTTGTTTTTTAAAGTGTGGCAGTCAATCAGGAAAAGAAAGTAAGCAAAATAAAGTTTCAGCAATTTAAAATTTATTATTTTATAGTTAATATTTCTTCTGTGATGAAGTTTTAGATAGTTTAGTAGAGTGGTTAATGGTTTATTATACTAGTAGAGTGGCTACAGATAATAGAATTACAATTTTAAAAGCTTGGTAAGAACTTTGCCTACTTTGTAACGGAGGGAATTTTGAATCTCAAAAATTCAGTTCTAGTACTACATCTGTGTAACATTTGGGAAAAAAAATAGTCCAATGCTCTTAATGTACAATCCTGTTCCTTTTAAAAATCAGTTTATCATAAAAGGGACCTACAAAGCAAAACTAAAATTTTTAATTAAGTCTAGATACCCGTACTAAATGTCCACAAGAACCAGGATGAGAAAGGTATTCAGCAAAAAAAGTAAATATTAAGCAACTTTAAAAAATAAAACAAGTTGTGTGAAATCCTTTTGTTTACGTACTTCCTGGTTCACTCTGACATCATCATAAATTGAACTGTTATGCCAGTACTTATATTACATCACCTTCTGGGAATATCTTCAGTGAACAAGAAAGTACTAATATTATATTGGAAGGGAGAAAAGATATATATTAGTTGTATCTTATTGGTATGCTAATGAACCCCACAACTTGGTTGGTGAGTACACGTAATACATATATCTGTGCTAATTCGTTTTCACTGGGCTGTTCACATTTAACCGACAATGTTAGATGAGCAACCTAGAATTGAAAAAATCTTGCAGACAGGTTCCAGCAAACAAAACCGTGATGCGTATCTAAAAAAATCACTATTAAAAATAATTAGCTATTCATAGCTTTTAATATCTAAAGACTGGTATAATAAAAAAATTTCACCCTCAGCAGGCTGAAATCAGATCCTTTTAATTTTCAGGTTCTTCAAAGCAGAAATGAAATAAATGTTTTCCCAAACTATATCATTTGCTGAATACTGAGTGGGCAAATATGCCAACTGTCATCCTTAGAGAAAATGGTTGAAAAAAAGTAATAATTAAGTTTCTGGTTAGATCTTAGATATAGAATTAGAATGAACTCCACGCAATGAGTCTGATACCACAGATCACAAACAGATTTCTCTAACCAACATGATTAACTTGCATACATAATAAGAACATGCTATGTACTGCTTATTTCTATTACACATAAATCATGGTAACCGTTTCGTATATTGCCTAGCTTTTTCTGTTTTTCAATATATTTCATAGTTATTGTATCCAGTTTAAGAAGGCAAAAAACTCTAAAGGTGTACTAGATACCCACACCCCTCTGTTTTGTTGAGGTACATCAAGATTCTTCAACCATTTGAAAAAAGAGTGGGCCTCCATTGCAACTTGAATTCTACAAATCTATTGCAGATTTTATAAACATGTTTTTTGCAATAATTGGTTATCCTGGAAGTTATCAGAGACCCACACATTTATTCAAAGCTTTCATCAATCCGATTTCCACCTTCAACATGTTCATTTGATTTATGACACCCATTCTATGACAGATAAAACATTTGTAGCCCTTTATGTGTTAACCGTATGCTTACATACCCACATATATAGCACCTAAAGTACTGCATCCATCGAATAAGCAAAACCAAGGACTCATTAATAAAGCTTTGTTAATTGTATATAATAAACAATCATCTTCCCAAGTTCTTTGATTTGTGCTCGCTATGTCAGGGTTGGTGGAAAAGCATATCAGAGTGTGAGTAGATTAATATTACCTCCAACCTTAGGCCCACCAGCTGAACCTGGTTTTCTTGCACTGTTTGAAGGATTCCCGAGTTTTTTAGGTGCAGGAACCTTGAAAGCTGAGGCAGCTGACGATGGCCTATTTCCATCCACTGACTCCTCATCATCAAAGCTTTTATCTACAAAAGGATACATAAAAGAAATTTACTTATGAGAACAGAGGGTTTTTTAAAAAATTGCTCTGCTGCACTTTTCACAGAAATTTACCAGAAGATCAAATAAAAATCAATACTAATTTTGCCCTTTGTCTATGGCATGGGAAACAGATGAAAAATAAAAATAAAAAGCATTTTAACACCACAAGATTGTATACAATACTGCCTTTGGATTTGCAATTATCATCATCATATTAAACACAAAAATGAATCCTACATATTCATCACAAAAAGAAAAATTCTCTGCACAGGTTAAATGTTTCCTGTCCATCATCTTCCCAAAAATGAATATAATATTCAGTTCATTCCAGGCTATTCAAGAGCAATGCTTCTCCCTTTTCCTCTACTCATGCATGCATTTTCTGCTACACATCCTCCCACAATGTGTCTACCAACACTCCCTGTCTCATTCCTTCCACCCAGATCTTGCAACTTACAATCACAGATCCGCTTGCAGATCAACCGCCTCATTCCTCTGATAGCTCTTAATTCCCCTCACACTAGGATGCTCCCAATACCTCACATGGCCACACACAATAGATTCTCAATACCAATCAAAGATTCTATCCAAAACTGTCAGAAAACACCATAGCTCCACCACTGAGATTTGTGCCGGCATCTTTCTCTCTCTTCCCTGCACTAGGTGCTGAAACAACCAATCAGCTTCAAGGTGACATCATCTTCTGGTAGCCACTGCCAGATGAAAAGGTGAAAATTCTTCATACATATAAATTCATTCCCACACACACAATATCTGCAGCCACAATTGCAACCCTTTAAAAATTTCATAGCCATACTTTGCTTGAGGGTTTTCTCACACACCCAAAAAATACAAGGACTTGTCTTTTGTTCAGTCAAGTCAGAAACTCATCTCCAGACAACAGTTAAAATATTCTCAATAGAGGATGTGCTGCACTTGGTGTTTAAATTATTTTTTTTATTAAAAAGAATTCCAGAAGCAAACTGTGACCATTTTGTAATTCATTTAGTAGAAAAAGTTGGATTTATCCAGACCCTGTAATGCACGTAAAAACAAACCTGTAGTTCATATCATAAACAAGATGGGTGAGGCTGACACACAGCTGCATAACAATGATATAAGCCAATTTAAAAGATATTTCTTCACTGGAACCTGCCATTTCTAAAAAATATCACAGCACTGCTTTTATTTCAGGAATTTTCATGTTTATTTAACCTTGGTGTACACTGAATGGCAAAACGTTCCCTATAAAATGAGCTATATTTAAAAAGAATCTCCTGGGGAAAGACACATTCACTATCATATGAGAGCAAACATGTTTTTCCAAATGGCATTTATAGCGACAGCTGATGTAAAAACACTGAGCATTCTAGGGTTTACTTTAGTTTCCTAATGACAGTATGACTTCAGAAATATTTTTGTTTAACCAAAACAACATATAGCAATACTAAACCTCTACTTTCATTTACAATCAAAAACCTAGAAAATATCAGTAATAGTATATCTGAACATTTTCTCCAACATGCTTGTTTCCTTTCAACTACCATTATAAGAGAATGTGATTAAGAATACTTCTGTATATGGATATGTAAGCAAAACAGAATGCAAGAGGAAGGGCAGTGAAGAAACACACACTATTCCATGAGTTTCCATGGAAACAGTACTTAGTCCTCACACAAGAACTGGGAGAATACACTTCAGTTCTAACTAAGAAAAGACACTGATTTAACTCTTAGTGTCTTAAAAATGTAACTGTAGACATCAGCATTTTTTAAAGAAACTGTTAGACCCATTAATCTAATCACAAGATGAAGTTTTATAAACTTAATGCTGCATGAAATAAATGTTAATGGTAGTGGTTAACACTGAGGATTCTGACTCAGGGAAACAACGTAACTTCAAAATAGTATTAAAAATAGGCTATAGATGAAACCAATTTTTAACTTTTTTTTTTTTTTTTTTTTTAAACATGATGAATAGCCACCTAAAACTTCTTAAATTAGGATACCAGAAGTAGCTGATTATTAAAACTCAACTCTACATTTATTTTTCACTGTTAATACATACATATTGCATTTTTTTCAGCTTTGATTATGAAAACAGGTTAGACTTTCATATTGTCAGTCAAACGCACAATACTGCAGTCTATGAGTTGCAAATAGTGTATTATAAGACCATTTTTATTAAAAATAAAACTGTTTCCAGTGCAATTAAAAAGTAATGGTAAGATTTCTGCTGATTTTACATTTGTAAAGGTTCTTATTCCAGGGTATATATGAAGCTGCAGGAGACTTAAAAAATAATACTGGACAGATTTCTACTGAAAATGCACATAAATTACTCTATAATCCTACAAATACATAAATTGAATATGACACCTAGTTTAATAAGAAATTTTAAATCTAAGATGATAAAATAATTACATTTAAGATTTTATAATATATTAAGTCAAAATTTAATTATAGTTTTAACAGGAATTGCAACTTCCCCCCAGCCTTGTGTGTATTTATGTCTGTGGGTTTTGATCAATCCCCATTGAGCTTCAGGGAGGCTCCAGTTCTTGAAAGACCCATAACAGCATTTGCATATATCCGAAGCCTCAAATCTGTGTTTACAGAAATTATTACAGGCTTATATAAATGTATTACATTTGCTTCAAGTATTATGTAAAATTCATATCTTTTCACACATATATACACGGACATTTGAGTACCTAATCATGAAAATGAATACACTTGTATTTATTCCCGTCTGCAGCACTCCAGATTTGGGCAGCTTTTTCAGCAGGGTATAAATCCACTAAAATCAACTGAGTTGAATCCACCTACTCCTGGCCATAATTTAGCCCACTGAATACAGCTGAAACACTGCATCTGGTCATCTTCAGATTAGCAGCCCTGGTGGAGTCCTGTCTATGCATGCAGTTTTCAAATTTATTTCATAATTTCTAATTTTTTAATTAATTTCACTATTTCCAAGTCAAATTTCTTCACTAAGTATAGGAAATTGCAATAACTGGGGATAATGTGTAAAGTATATATGAAGTTTTAAAATTAAATTGTTTGAAAATTACCTCAAGATGTGAAGGGGGGGAAAAAAACAAACAAAAAACACACCTCTTCCATTCTGGGATACCACAAAATGGCCAAACAATTTTCACGCACAAAATATCACACATACAAAATTTATTTTGGGACCAAGAAACCAGAACCCTAAATAATATTTTTTCCAGAAAGTTACAAGTTACTGAAAGCAGGAGTTATGCAAGCTGATCCATAACTTTAAATAGAGAGTGTTGCTATAACATACAGTAGCATAATACCTTGTACATAAGAATTGAACATGTGTATCAGAATTTCAGGAAGCAAGCAATGCACAGCAAGCAATGAACAGAATTAAGTTGCAAAGGAAATGGAGAATTAATGGGGTGAAAGAATTCAAATTTCAGTCATTTCTCTCACTGCAGTTTGGTGACTCAGCAACTTCATTTTAAACAACACAGGTGAACTATTTAAAGAAGAAAAAGGGAGTCAGGACTTGTCTATACAGTGGGGTAATTCACTGTAGGAGGGTATGATTTCTAAACTGCAATAACGTGTTACTCATCAGTAGGTCATGTAGACCCTGCTGGTGTGCACGAAAGGTTCATTACAGTGCTTTAATGTACTACTTCAAACACCACATTAAAGCACACTAGCAGTATCAACATGGATCAATTTATGCGCAACATGTTAGTATGCTTTAGAAATCACATTCCCATATAGCACATTACCCCATCATGTAGACAAGCCTTTAGGCACCCAACTCCCCATTGAAATTCAGTGACAGTTGGGTACCTAATTCGCTCAGGCCCCTCTGAAAATCTAAGCCTATATTCCTACTAGTTAGTGACAATGCATTTCTAATTTGAAGCAAAATTTCTCTTAAAATGGACACTTTCAAAGTAAAAAATTAAAGCAACTCAAAATGTGGGTTCGTTTTTATCTTTAAGATTAAAATCCAAACATGGCAATTAGCATGGACTGACTGTCCTGAGTTGTACTTGCTGCCCATGACTATTATACCATATACAGTATTTAATGAGTCACCTAGAACCTGTGAAGTCCTGTATATTTCTACAATACAGGCTGAACAACTGAAAGCAACAACAAATGCAGAATGAGTTTGAAAGTTTCTAATAGCTGGAGGAAGAGTATGCCACAGATCAAGCACATAATCACAGAACACTAGCTTCTATCACCATGAGATTAAAATCAGGGCAAAATAAATAGGTAATTGTCCAACTATACCAAAAGAAGGCCAGGAGACACTGGATGTGGTTTAATTAGGCTGCAACTCTATTAACAACTGTCTGGGAGTACCTGGCAGATAAAAATGTACAGTGTAGGTAACTCCATGATCCTTTCAATATCTACCCAGGGGGCTTCCACCAGTCCCCTCCTTTTTTTCCCCCACTCTGGTCCCCAGCCAACAAGCTGCTGAGACCTTTCCATTCCCGCCCCCTCAAATGAAGGGTAAGGTGGGCTATAAAGGAGGAGGGGAAGGTCGTCTCCCTGCCGTTCCAGTCACAGAAGCCACAAATCTCCCTGTTTCTGCTCCTTTAACAAATACTCCTTTAAATCCTTTACCAAACCATTTATCTGATCAATGTATCCCTTCCCTACAGAGCACCTGCACTGGATATCTGCCCCACATTTACAGAATGAGTTGCGACATCATAGCCTAACCCCCATTCCATGCTCGCCCCAACTAAGCCCCGCCCAAACTCGCTGTGAGGAAAGTGAAATAACACCCCCACACTCTGCCTTGGTCAACCTGGCGGTGAGGGAAAAATTCCTTCCCAGCCCCCCAAGAAAGGAGTAGATAGAGTGCCTACAGCAGATCCGGACCAAACCTGGTATTTTGCCACTTTCAAGGGTAGGAGAATGGGTGCTGCTCTGCTTGGTCCAGGTGAAAGAGGGCTTCCCCTGCCCTCTTCCAGTCA